TTACTTATGCGGACAGATGTGTGGCATCTTCAGGTCTATGACAACCAATGTCTCAGAAGTGTTCCTGGCGTCCGATGGCTTCAATGGATTAGTAACAAGGTGGTTAAAAAACGGATAGCAGGTATTTCAGTCGCGAAAAACATTCAGCAACAACAGCGACGGCTCGGTCATGTGCAACGCATGCCGAAACATGGTTTATCAGGACGAACGTTGTTCTACGTATTTCCTTCAGAATGGCGCGAATTGCGAGGTGGGCGATGATGTGTGACTTGGTAGAAGGGTGCAAAAGAGATTATGAAGGATTTGGGTGTCGTTTGGCATGATCCGTGAGATCCTTACGCCTGATTGGAAACACTGTGAGAAATGGCAGCTGATGTCAGTGGCATTCGTCGTCAGTTCACTTCCAGGTTGTCCGACTGGGCGCTTGGAGGTGTAGGCTTCTGATAGGCTGGCGCCAGTTCCCTTCCGTCACCCACTCTTTTATCTCCTCAAACGAAAAGATAACCATTCAGCTACCAGGGACGGTTCAGTGGTCAGAGCGCGGATTTACTGACCGGAAGGTTCGAACCCGACTTCCAGGCTTGGGCAACCTGGCAGTACCCCCAGTCCTCGTGCTTCCTTCTGGTGACATGGCAGTTATGCACTGAAGGGATGCTATAGCTGAGCCCGATTCAGCTATGAAAATCTTCCTCTGTCTATCTGCCATGCCACGCGGAGGGAGCACGAGGTCTGAAGCAGGCTGCCCAAGCCTAGACAGGAGCAGTCGAGATGCCCAGGTTGAGCTCGACCCAAAGAACCCCCGATCAGTAAGTCCGCACCCTAACAAGTGAGTTGTATAGATCTTTTCCTTCAACTTTAAGGCTGCAAATCTGACAACACAAAGCATCCTTCAGTAGGATATCTGTACTACTTTGCGCTACCGATGCGTAGTTCACGTTAAGCCTTCACTTTGCTGTTGAGTAAGAGGATAAGCAATATAGTTGAGCACGAACAGTACTGTGAAAGCACCCAGACGCTTGAAGTTTTTTCACCAAAAACGACAGGACCATCAGTCTTAGAACAGCTACAACGGTGCTCTGCACAAGAACTGGCTTTCCGATAACCTTCGATAGTCCAGAGGGTTGACATTTCACCTGACAGCTTCGCGAAACGCGTAAAGGTAGATGAGTTTTCTAACTTCAAAATGATTAACCTTGAAAGAAAAGGGGGGCGATATATTAGGGACCCTTGCGATTTCGCTAACTAGCTGCAGTTTTTTTCTCCCGCACAAAGTGTGTCCGCGTAATAAATACCTCGTTTATGACTGTAGCCGTACATAGCCAGTGGATGGTACTTCATGTGGTACTGATTTGTGTCGATAACACTCGCACCGCGTGCAAGTAGAAACCGTGCAAGTCGCCGGAGATTACATGATAAGGACGTTATACCTTGAGCACACATGCAGTGAGCATAAACCAACACAAAGTTACATTTACATCCTACGGAGACTTCCATGTCGCAAAACCGAAGAATCGAAAGGTTGTGGCAATTGACATGTTCTAGAATGCAGCGTTTGCCATTTTGGTTGAATTATTGCTGGAGTATTGAAGTACAATCTTGCTTACTAGGTTTCGGTTCATGAAGGTTTGTTCTGTTTCCATCCCCGGAACCCTCACCTAGGAAGGATCACTGTATCCCGGCACTTCCATAAAATGCATGCTGCAACTTAAAGTTTTATGCTCGTAATCATTTCCAGCTGAAATTCCATCCCATTAGGCGTGCGCATATGCACCCTAAGGTTTCGGTTCATGAAGGTTTGTTCTGTTTCCATCCCCGGAACCCTCACCTAGGAAGGATCACTGTATCCCGGCACTTCCATAAAATGCATGCTGCAACTTAAAGTTTTATGCTCGTAATCATTTCCAGCTGAAATTCCATCCCATTAGGCGTGCGCATATGCACCCTATCTGTTTACATGCAAACAGCGGAACACACAGCGAAGCGGAAATTTAAAAGGCCCGACGGCGTGCGCACACCCTACCTGTTTACATGCAAACAGCGAAGCGGAAATTTAAAAGGCCCGACCGGGTTCGTGGGCTTCTAAATTATTGACTGACTTGGCTTTCTTCGAAAAAATTTCAAAACCCATTGCATCCGGACAGGGCTAACAGTTGCGTTGCAGTCTTGGCTGAGGCAAACGTACAGCCTGACTGCGTCCCATAGTACTCGGTCCCACCGCCTAAATCCAAGGCATCGAAACTAGAATAGAACGCCGTAGCTAGTTACCAACCGTGTTTGCGGCAACATTTTGCATGGCCAAAGGATGACGAGCGAAGCGCCTCACGACGCCCATCTCAAGTCGAATGTTTCGGTTTCCAGAGATTTTATCACACAGTTCTATCAACAAAATTGTTCGCCATATATAACCCGCTGTGAAAAAGGTTTCTATGCGACAGTATACCATTCGGTGTGAGGACTCGTTTCAGACTATAGTAAGGGCTGTATCGTTGTGTGGTTGCGAGACATTACTTATGCGGACAGATGTGTGGCATCTTCAGGTCTATGACAACCAATGTCTCAGAAGTGTTCCTGGCGTCCGATGGCTTCAATGGATTAGTAACAAGGTGGTTAAAAAACGGATAGCAGGTATTTCAGTCGCGAAAAACATTCAGCAACAACAGCGACGGCTCGGTCATGTGCAACGCATGCCGAAACATGGTTTATCAGGACGAACGTTGTTCTACGTATTTCCTTCAGAATGGCGCGAATTGCGAGGTGGGCGATGATGTGTGACTTGGTAGAAGGGTGCAAAAGAGATTATGAAGGATTTGGGTGTCGTTTGGCATGATCCGTGAGATCCTTGCGCCTGATTGGAAACACTGTGAGAAATGGCAGCTGATGTCAGTGGCATTCGTCGTCAGTTCACTTCCAGGTTGTCCGACTGGGCGCTTGGAGGTGTAGGCTTCTGATAGGCTGGCGCCAGTTCCCTCCCATCACCCACTCTTTTATCTCCTCAAACGAAAAGATAACCACTCAGCTACGAGGGACGGTTCAGTGGTTAGAGCGCGAATTTACTGACCGGAAGATTCGAACCCGACTTCCTCTGTCCAGGCTTGGGCAACCTGGCAGTACCCCCAGTCCTCGTGCTTCCTTCTGGTGACATGGCAGTTATGCACTGAAGGGATGCTATAGCTGAGCCCGATTCAGCTATGAAAATCTTCCTCTGTCTATCTGCCATGCCACGCGGAGGGAGCACGAGGTCTGAAGCAGGCTGCCCAAGCCTAGACAGGAGCAGTCGAGATGCCCAGGTTGAGCTCGACCCAAAGAACCCCCGATCAGTAAGTCCGCACCCTAACAAGTGAGTTGTATAGATCTTTTCCTTCAACTTTAAGGCTGCAAATCTGACAACACAAAGCATCCTTCAGTAGGATGTCTGTACTACTTTGCGCTACCGATGCGTAGTTCACGTTAAGCCTTCACTTTGCTGTTGAGTAAGAGGATAAGCAATATAGTTGAGCACGAACAGTACTGTGAAAGCACCCAGACGCTTGAAGTTTTTTCACCAAAAACGACAGGACCATCAGTCTTAGAACAGCTACAACGGTGCTCTGCACAAGAACTGGCTTTCCGATAACCTTCGATAGTCCAGAGGGTTGACATTTCACCTGACAGCTTCGCGAAACGCGTAAAGGTAGATGAGTTTTCTAACTTCAAAATGATTAACCTTGAAAGAAAAGGGGGGCGATATATTAGGGACCCTTGCGATTTCGCTAACTAGCTGCAGTTTTTTTCTCCCGCACAAAGTGTGTCCGCGTAATAAATACCTCGTTTATGACTGTAGCCGTACATAGCCAGTGGATGGTACTTCATGTGGTACTGATTTGTGTCGATAACACTCGCACCGCGTGCAAGTAGAAACCGTGCAAGTCGCCGGAGATTACATGATAAGGACGTTATACCTTGAGCACACATGCAGTGAGCATAAACCAACACAAAGTTACATTTACATCCTACGGAGACTTCCATGTCGCAAAACCGAAGAATCGAAAGGTTGTGGCAATTGACATGTTCTAGAATGCAGCGTTTGCCATTTTGGTTGAATTATTGCTGGAGTATTGAAGTACAATCTTGCTTACTAGGTTTCGGTTCATGAAGGTTTGTTCTGTTTCCATCCCCGGAACCCTCACCTAGGAAGGATCACTGTATCCCGGCACTTCCATAAAATGCATGCTGCAACTTAAAGTTTTATGCTCGTAATCATTTCCAGCTGAAATTCCATCCCATTAGGCGTGCGCATATGCACCCTATCTGTTTACATGCAAACAGCGGAACACACAGCGAAGCGGAAATTTAAAAGGCCCGACCGGGTTTGTGGGCTTCTAAATTATTGACTGCCCGGAGCAAGTAACGACCATGCAGACTATCACTATGGACCACGAAAACGTCCCAGTAAAAACGCCACCGGTGGCTACGATCGGCCAAAGGTGTAAACCGAAAAAAAATAGCTCGACTTCATTGGCTTTCTTCGAAAAAATTTCAAAACCCATTGCATCCGGACAGGGCTAACAGTTGCAGTCTTAGATTGGCTGAGGCAAACGTACAGCCTGACTGCGTCCCATAGTACTCGGTCCCACCGCCTAAATCCAAGGCATCGAAACTAGAACTCAACGCCGTAGCTAGTTACCAACCGTGTTTGCGGCAACATTTTGCATGGCCAAAGGATGACGAGCGAAGCGCCTCACGACGCCCATCTCAAGTCGAATTTTTCGGTTTCCAGAGATTCTATCACACAGTTCTATCAACAAAATTGTTCGCCATATATAACCTGCTGTGAAAAAGGTTTCTATGCGACAGCTAATACATTTGGCTTGTATGATTAAAGGGAATCAGTGGAAATAATTTTCCAAAACTAGGCCACCTCTGGCTGTGTTTACTGGGGCATCCCACTGCAGCATAAAGCGTACCGACGCAAAAGCAACACCATGCAAACCATGTTAATCTGAAAATCGTCTGAAACGTACGTCAGTCATGGGGGCCGTCGAGACATCAGTCATGAAGCAGAAAATCTGCGCTTTGCTGGCAAAGGAGCACAAAAGACCGAGTTGGCGGACAGTGCGCACCCAGCGCTCTGATTGGGTGGTTTTCGGAACACAGCACAAGGTGACCTTGAAGCGTGAACTCGTGACCAAATAATGCAAGTGGGGCTTACAGTTCAGTGCAAACATTCGAACATTGTATTCGACGAATTATCCGGAAGTGTGGATGCATTACTCGAAAAATATGCAATATTGCGTTATTTTATGAATGCTGATAGAATCCTCGAAGCAATTCATCACCCATCCAAAGTCACACTTAAGCTGCAAAACCTAATAAGAAACAGTGAAAACTAAAGCAACAACCAAGAGTTCCATATGTTTACTTCGCCTCAGAAACTGAGCAAGGCAGTTTGCTCGATAAGTTGTGTGGCTAGCCTTGCTGCTGCGACACAGGCTTAGCCCACGAACTGCTACCGAAATCTCAGGACCCTCGGGGCCCTGCCTAGGTGATGGCTTCATCCATATAAGGGCATTATGCGCCACCTTGAAGGTGAAGCTCAGACCGACTTCAGGGCAATAAGACAATCTGGGACTTCAGATTTTCCACCGTATGGGACCAATTACCTGCCATAAATTTGAGCGAAATACCTCAGACACAGTGGATTGCATTTCAGCGCAGTATGCTGTAGAAGCTAAGAAAGCAGTCATCTTAATCAGTCTGCTATCAGCCAAAGATAAGTCTAAGTGTATCACCTCCGGCCATGTTTACTGATCCTTTGTACGATTATCTGCGATTCTAGACACGCGTCAAAACCCTGAAATCATTAGACTCACATTACATCCCCATCACCTACCTAAAAAACCCTTCGGGTTAGCATTCTTCAAGAGAGCAGCCTAACGTTATAAATTTAGTAGTCGCCATCCCACATTCTGCCACAAGAGTTGGGTTACACAAAGATGCCTTAACACTCACGGTGGAAGGAAGAAGGCCTTCGCTGCGGAGTTATTTATTCGGAAGTGCCAGCTGACCGGTTACGGACCATCGAACAAGGAAGCAAAAGTCTAATCTGCATCTTAGCTACAGAACCTGGACACAGATCTTCTCCCGAACGAGTCCTCCTGGAGATTCATTGCCTCCAATCATTCGTCGGTCAAATTAAAACAAATGTTACAGAGTGGCCCCACAAATTCCGCAACAGGATTCCATTTTTCAATCGATGCAAAGCGAAATTCTACGAACAACACATACTACTCGCGTGCCTCCCAATCAGTAGTATCACCGTTACACGCCACCCCTTAAAGCTCGTTCGCATGCCATCGATTTTCATTTACCTCCGTCAGGTCGGCTTCGGTAGCCGGTCTACTCGGCCGCTCTCCGGGTGTATCATGCCACTTGCGAAGCTGTCCCATTCACTACTTTCGATCCCCGACCATCGATTTATGGGAAAATAGCATAATATTGCTACGCACCATTTCCATTTAAATGTCGTTAGCATGCCACCGGCTTTCACTTACCTCCGTTAGGTTCGGCTCCGGCAGCTGGTCTATGGGGCCGCTCGTCATGCCACTCACGAAGCGGAGTTCCATGTGCTTTCTACGATCCCCGATCGTCTTGAATTTTATGGATGTTATCCTGGCAATCGAAAACGACCCAGCTACCGCGACCTCAGTCTACTGCTTCCAGGATTCCGATGATCAGTTCACTTGACCTTCGCACCCATGGGGAATGGTCGTGCCTCCCTACTTACTGTTTTACGCCTAGTCCTTTCCTGGACGGCGGCCAAGTTTTCTCGATCTCTCCTTCTATCTCCCCCTGGCTCCTCCGGAGACAAGCGTGTTGCCGGCCACAATCCAATTTCCTGATCAACCGGAAGGTGCGGATGTCGACCGTACACTAACATAAATGAGGACTTGTCTATGGTTGACTGCGTGGGAGCACGGTGAGCTAACAACACCATTGACAAG